AAAAAAAGGGGGGGGTGTCGTACGGGCTCGGCTAAAATCTCCAACCAATGGATGTGCCCTGGGGCCTTTACACATATGAATACATCGGTTCCGATTGATTTCATAATGAAGAAAATAGTGAGCAAAACCGTTGAAGATGCCCTGGAAAGTACAGTCTTAGTTGCTGCGGATGATGAAGCGTCTCAAAAGGGATGGGTATGGCGCAACGATGGCCTGTTTCTTCCTTTTTTTCGTTGAACGACGAAGCTGTTTGATATCTTTCGTATGGCTTCTACCAATACTTGTCGCTTACAACAGCTTCAACAGCTGGTGGAGAACGGGCTGGTGGTGTGCTAAATTACTGACACGCCCCTTAATGCAGTGGATCTCATTTCCGAGTGGACATTGATTTTCAGAATTTTTCTTTTTTTAATGATGCAGTAGGGACCGAAGGGGTAGTCAGAGGCTGCTAACTTCGGTAAATAAGCTGAATACGGTCGAATTCCCTTATCGAGATTGGCAAGCTTTTGGAGTAGCCTCGTGGCCGTACGAGGTGTTTGCACTGCCGAAGAGTAGCAACTCTGCTTTTGGGCAAGACAAGAGCTTGTCGATGATATCTGTTGAAGTGTGCGATGGGTTTACTCAAGGCGGCCCAGCTCTCAAGCTACCAAAACTCACGACCATTCGTTGAGCTTGGTCAGACTGGGTGCAACCATGTGACATCCTTTACAGGAAATTTTCCCGATAACCGAGGTTGCGGAGAAGCATGGCAGTTGTCATTCAGGTGCAGACTGTAGATGTTGTTAACTTATGGGTGATTATGTACGTTCGGTATCGCCTCCAGTGGGTTAAGTAAACGGCCGTCATGATACTCCTTATCCGTGGGACGGAGTAGGTGGGATTCCTGAGAATGGCATAGAGTGGGTTATTCGTGGGATATTTCGATTTAACGAATGCCATCTTGGACAGTGTTAAACAGAGACATGATTACGGGGTCCCAAATTTGAAATTTCTCACGAAAAGCGCAACCTTCGCCGCGTTCAAGTGAACTGCACCTACCGCATCACAGGGATGTGGAGTGTACGTCTTCGAATAAAATGAGTTCAGCTTGCAAGCGCTGATACCAACAGTATACTGTGGAACATCCTTACTGAAGACAGGTGTTAGCTCTCTCTACTGCGGCGGAGTGGCCCAGTAGGAACTCATAATATGAGCTCATAATATGGGATAGGTCGAAAAGTACCTTGACCTTTGGTGGGTTTCGCTCTAAAGCTTCCACAAAGCCATAGCATACCAGCCTGAAAAAATCTCAGAAAACTTTCTCCACTAGACAGGAATGGAACATTCGGGACATATTTTCATTTTTTCCTGAACAAGCTGTTCGAAGTGTCGCAGAACTTTTTGTCCAACCTAATACACTCCATACAAAGATGAAGGGTCCGTGGCAGCGCAGTTCATTTAATTGTGGCGGCAGCTGCTTTTCTGGAGGAATATTGTTGTTTTGGAACAGCTGCAACCATGGCTTTGCCCAGTTCAAGTAAGGACAACAATTGTATCAAATGGAAGTATACCACTAACAACGCATCCCACGTTATGCTCAAGTGATGTACGTAGCCACGCCCACTCCATTTTTTCTATATTGGATGGCCTTTTACTGGAACATATGAATAAATGTTCTGTGAGCCAGGGGCTGCGCTGAGGGTAAAGGGTGTCGGCTTGCCAACAAGTCCAGAGAACTCGTACGATGAGGATGTGTGACTGTCAGGGCTGAGTTTTCATCACTGTTTTGGGATGTTTTGCTTTTCTCTTTATTGAGGAGTCACTTATCCACTTCTTCTTCATAATTGAACAAGAATTATCTACACCATTTTCACTATAAATTCACCACTTTCCACAAAATTCACCACTTCCGAACTAAAATTCACCACTTATTATCTGGGCAACCGTCAACCAAAATCACGCCCGCACGAACATCAACCAGATCACGCCAGACACCACTGCGAGCCCCGCCCCGACGGCCACGCCTACTTGTCAGCGCGGACATAGATTTTCAAATCTTGTTTCATAACTTCTGCTTCTGTGACTTTTCTTGTCTTTTGCTGTTTCCCACAAACACTTTGACTGAAAACGACTGGACATCGACACATGGCCGACTCCGCCCATTCTCTAAAGGGTTTGGCAATCTAGGCTCCGCCCCTTGACCACGCCCACTTGCTTTTCGCGGAATTTTGATATTTTTTCAAAATTTTTGCATTTTTGGACTGCTACGTGAAGCCCCGCCCACTGTGAGAGGCTCCGCCCACTTTTCAAAAATGGTGTAAATCGGCAGTATAGGGTCTTGGCTTGCATGCTAGGGTCTCGTTCGTCACTCGGAACAAGAAAATCAGGCAAAGTTTGTTCCGAATGATCAGCAATACCCTAGCATGCCAGCCGAGACTCTATACTGCCGATTTGCACCATTTTTGAAAAGTGGGCGGGGCTTCTTCAAAGTGAGGCAGTGAGTACCTCCAGAAGAGGCTAAACTGGAATCATAGTGAAAAAGAGAACATAACTTCGCTCTGTTCATGTCAAAATGTGCGTCACACGGTAAACCCCCATGATACAGGCCGTCCTCCCACTCTGAACCGTTGATCCTCCTCCACCTGATTCGATTTCGACTTACAGCTCCCAACCCTTTTACTGTTCTGGAAACAGAGCAGGCAAACTTCGGGTTTTTCATTGCTTTTTTTGATTTTTCCGTTCCAGGCGCTTCCATTTATGCCAACTCTCTTTCTGTCGTTCACTAGACAGAGGTATGAGTTCAATAGCTTTGAAATAATAATGTTTTACGTGAGAACAGCAGCCAACAGGCTTACAAGAAGCATGGAGTCACGCCCACTCCATCTCCGGGATGCAGGGTAGCACTATTTCTTCGTAGGAAAATAGGCGTAAGCCCAGGTTAAGATCCCCATGTTGAGGAAATACCAGTGCCGTTCCTACCTTGTCTCAGCTTCTACACCGATACTGTTTAAGCTCGTTTCTAATGCAGTTTTTCTCTCTGAGCATCAACCTACGGCGCGTGGGATCAAATGTGTTGATTATACTAGTAAGACCACTTGCGTTGATGAGATTTCACACTTGGTTCTTATACTTCTTATAGACAAGAATAAAGAATATAGTCTAAACTGTTAACCAAATCGAAATCGTATGACCGAAATACGGCTGGCGATCTACACCAATCCATAGAGCGGAATATTTGCGTCTCTCGACGCTGGTCCACTGCTTTTGTCAACTGTGTTTGTGGTTTTTTACATTTTACTGTACCTCATTTTTTTTACTAAACTGTTGTATCGAGGTATGAGTGTTGTGCGCGAGACCACTTGGTGCACACCTTTCAGACCGATGCCGAAATTCTCCTTTTATTATGAAGGGTCCCGATGAGTTTTTCACATTCGCTCGAAGGGGGAAAGGAGCTTCAGGATGGGTGAAATGGCTTGCCCACACCTCAGCTCCTTCCCCCTCAGGTTGATGCAAAAATCGGGTTATGGCAAGGCACGACGTCGCGTTCGAGGGACGAGTGGTCCTGCCTGGCCGTTCAAGTAAGATTGTCAAAATGATTCGTTGAGCTTATTGAGATTGATGATTTAGTTTCAGTTCGTTTCCGTTCCAATCGATAAAGCGGTGCACATCAAGGGTTGCCGCGCATGGCCGCACGATACTCTGCGTTGCTCCGCGCGGCGCGCGACAATTTACGATTGTCTTGTCCGTCTACATTAAAATTGTGACTTCCTGGTTAACAATCATTTATCCCTTCTTCAGGAAGCTGCTTAACACCTGAAAACTAAAGAAGTGGAGCTCACAGCAACTGAGAAGCCCTTGTGCAAAATTGCGATTACCGTAATCCGACGGACTATTGCAACTGATAGCCCAGTGTATTACACTAGCATTACCAGTCATTTTTAACTTCAGATTATGGAGGGACAAAAAGTTCTACAATTTCCATCACACCCATCGTCAGCCTACGATATTTTGCTTGAGCAACGAGAACGATTTCGGCAGATGATTTCCGATGGAGATGTGCGATGCCTTTTACAGCCCTGCGCAATGACAGCGTACTGTGAGGTGTATTCATTTCTTCTCTTTCCTTAAATTTGTATGACAAAAATATGGCACATAAGAAGGCAGTACACCGCGGTACATCTTTTAACATTTATTTGATCGTTACTACGTATTCGAGCCACAAATTCATGATCCTTTGTATAGTTGTTGCATGTGTTGGGTTGGTGGGAGTTTATATTCATCTACTAAACTCTCTAAAAATCATTTGTACTGGATTATAATGCCAACAACTGATAGAGCTGGATTCAAGGAATTTTACGGTACACTAGCGTTCCATATTCCCCACGTATTTTCATATCCGATCATGAAGTTTCCCCCTGATGCCTTCCTCTACACTCTAATCCGAACAAAATCCCCGCTGTTGCATACTGAGGATAGCGGGGTTCATTTACAAAACTACAGTGGCTAAATGACTTTCCAGGGAAGAAGAAAGCGGAAATTCCGTAGAGAAAGCATTGAGTGAGGACCTGGCAGCTTTTCTGGACGAGTTTTCCGGGCGTGCTCGTAAAGCCAGAAAAGTGGTATACTGCCGCCCCTGGCTCGCTATTCGTTTCTTCGCGTCATCCAATGTTAATACCATCTAACAGTGGAAACAAAACCAGAACAGACGGTGTAAGAACTGAACTTGTTTCAGAAAATAGCCTTTGAGTTTCGGTGGGTGGGACAACCAAGGAGGCGTGAGAATTACCTTTTACGAGGGTCGCAGCGCCTTCCTCACCTACTGTAGAGCCGGGAAAGCGCGATCACCTCAGGGATTGTGGACTAGACTACTTGTACAAGGAAAGACACCTGCAAATCGCTTGAGCGCGGGGACTGTCTTACTTTGGCGACAACTCCGCTTAATGCTAAGCGAGGTATTTTATTTTGATCAAAATATGAGCGACTTCTTAATTTCCATTCAAATAGTCAGATTCAGAAATATCTTATATTACATAGTATCGACTAATTTTCCATTACTTTTCAAGGATTTTTATTTTTTTCAATTTTTGCATTTTTTCCTGTGTTGTTGGCTTGTGCCCTATGCCGTGCCCCAAATGTCCTGAGCTCATTCTTTGCAGCTCTGCGGCCTCCGCGGCTCACGATCCGAGCACACTTTTTCCAAACGTGATATATTGTTTTATTATCATTTATAACTCTCTTTGTTGCAGCATTTACTAGAAACTCGCCCTTCGTGCGAGTTGTCCGTACCCTTTGGAGAATTCCGTCGTCGAGAAATTGCTCAAGCAAAAGCAGAGGAACGCACCAAATTCGAGGTATTCTGGAATGAAATCTATAAATATCTCATCTACGCTATCACTGTCGTTGACGAAATACCGACAGGTAATGTGGAACTGTATAGAGCAAAGCAGATTTGCCTGCTATTGTTATTTTAAGGTCAGATTCTGAATTTAATATGTCATTCAAATGGTACCTCTTCATCCGCAACGCCTTTGTGTTAACTTCCCTTGCCCACCGTCTCCCAGCTGTTTTGCGATGTACTCGAAACAGGAGCGTATTGTCAACGAGAATCTTACTGACGATGAAATCAAGGTGGGTTGAGGATTTCGTCTAGGGATTTGTTGAGAGACTTCTTTCTTACCTGAGTAGGTCGCTTGTAGGAATACTGGAAATATCAGTGTTTCGAGCAGCTGTCTCAGCAGAACATCAGTCGTTAGGGACGCGCATCCTCTTCTTCTCCCTAGCGTTAATGCCGCGCCTTCGCTGAGTTCGCTGTTCTTGTTAGCTGTTGCCATCTTGTCTTGTCCAGGGCATTCTAGCCTTCACTTCAGCGAGATCTTTCTTGATCACGTCCCTCGACCGTTTCTTCGCTCCTTCGATGCTCCTCCTGGTCGCTTGCCTTGTGCTTCGAAACCCAGTGCCTTCCTTGGAGTGTGTTCTTAGAGCCTGCTCGGCACATGCCCATACCACCAAAGTCGCTGCTATCGTGCCTTCAGCTGGATTCGGAGCCGTCTTTGTGCCCGCTCTGACTTCAATACAAACGAGTCCAGTCGCAGGCCCGTTACAGCATCCTCACGTAAGCAGGGTGAGGTTGTTTTCATGCTTCCCGCTTGTGAGTCACCGCACGACATCGCCCCGCCTACCACTGCCTGACAAACCTGCCCTCAGGGCTAGGGCACATCGCCGATCGAGGAAAACCGGATACTTTTCTATCTTCATCAAGCCCGTCTTCTGTTCAAGCCTTTACCACCCCTTGATCCACCGCTACCGCCTCCCGATCGTGGAGGCCACATCACTTCCCAGATGGCGCGAAATTCGCACTCTTTCAGTGGCTCCATGGCTGTCCGCTGTAAATTGGTTCGGTGCACTCCTCGGAGGCCTAGGAACTCTATCTCCTGACGAAGGCCATTCTCCCGGCGAGTGCGCTCGCTGCCAAATGTTTGTACCCCCGCAGTGTTTGCTTTTCCTTTGGCCATAGAGGATGGTCCTTGGACGTGGGCCCTCCATGAACTCCTTTGCCATATTCAAGGTTAGTAGGAAGAAGAGAATGGCTAATAGCTGACCCTGGATGTACCTCAACCTCGATATCTGCCTGTCTTGTAACGATGTCTTGGACGACGGGTGCGTACAGCCGCTTTGCCCCGTCGTACATATGCTTCACCAGAGACATGACGAGTACGGGAATATTCTGTTCCCTCAGAGCCCTCGGAGTTCAGGTCTCGGCAAGCGATCGAAGGCCTTCTTGAGGTCCAGGGAGCCTAGGCGCTTCTCTCGACAATTCTCCATCACTTTTCTAGCGATGAAGATGGCATTCGTAGTAGACTTTTTGGGCATAAAGCCGAACTGCTCCTGCGAGGTCGAAACGAGGTCTCCCAGCCTGGCGTTGACTTAGCTCTCGTACAGCTTCAAGGTATGTGCGGTCAGTCTGATGACCCGGTAGTTGGTCCATTGCGTCTCCTTTCGCTTAAAGACGAGGACGATTGTACTGCACTTTCAAGCATCCGACATTCTTCCTTCGGCTGTTACTTAATTTAAGATGCAGGTAAGCCAACATACCCCATGCTCTCCAAATGCCTTGCGGGTATTCCATCTGAACCAGTCGCCTTCCGAACTTTGTCTTCTGTATTTGTCGACGGGAGCCTCATTCTCTGTCAGGGCTGCGATAAGAGCAGCCGTCGGCTCTACTTGTAGGCTGCCTCTGCGAAGGAACTTCTTGTTCAGGAGTTTATTGACATACCCTTTCCACCTTCTCTTGACTTCGACTGGCTTCCTCACATGACACAGTCCCCCCCCTTTCACAGGGTTCACAACATTGTTGTCTTGGGTAGCCTGATGGCGGGCTTAAAGGCATATGGCACGACAATATGGTACTCCGGTTTAAAATGCTAGCAGGGTGCTATGTGAT